CGAGTTTTTAGTGCACTGGAGGAAACTGATTCCAGATTTTTATAACTTGAGAAAGTTTGGGCCAGTTTTAAGAAATGTTCTGCAGACCAAAAATCACTGCTCCTCAGGAACTTCAGCCCAAAAATATTTCACTGTATAACCCTTCATGTTACTTTTCTAAAGATAAATAATGGAAGAAGGAAATATAGTGCAAATCTCCACGTTTTGCTTCGCGTAGCCCCAAAATTCTTCAAGCTCATACTCTTTGATCTCTTGGGGTTCAACAAGAGGTGAGAGAAATTAAATTTTTTGCTTAAGAGCAGCAGTTTAAGGGAAAGCGTGTGCATGTTTTCAGCATTGAAAAATTACGCTGAAAGATATTAATTTTGTACCTTGAGATGCAGCACTTCGGGAATGAGGCTGACCGTGAACAGCATCATGCGTCTTTGGAATAGCGATCCCAGCATAGCCTGTAAGCGAAATAGATGAAAGACAGATTGAATACGAATCCACTAGATGGCAGCTCATGACATCACCTTCGGCGGACGTTTCCACTGAAAACTCTGATGTTTCGTCATTCGTGGCTGATACAGCAAGTCCGAGATGGTCACGATTTAGGGGAATGTGTCCTGAAGGTGTGTCAAAGTTTGGTTGCGATTCTATTGCTTCTGGGAGTTTGACATTCGCTGGAATATTTGCAGGAGAGTCTGCTGATCGTTGAGCCAATCGCACTTTTGATGAAATTCTTCGCTTGTCCGGAATCGCTGCGATTCTTCTGCCTTTGCTGCTGAATCCTGCTTTCCCTAAAAAAAAACATGCATAAATCGACTTCTAAAATTTTTTTATGGTAATATCAACTATTTGGGAAGGCTTTTACTTCAAAAATAGTTTTTTTTAATGGTCGGTGACCTGACTTTTCCCACGTAACACCATCAACCTCAGCACTTGATTGCGTATCTCTGTGGGATCCTCTCAAATTAAAGACATACTGGTTGATCTCTCAGCTCCTCATTATATTGTAATAATTACTTGAGTGCCATGTGCCCTTAAATATGAAATACATTTCCGATTTTCAGCCAGAGGAATTAATTAAAATCTACAGCACCTTATTGCGACATGAAGACCCTATTTTTGTGACTGAAAGTTTTCATATTTAAATATAAATCCATCAAAGTTTTAATTTTGATTTGAATCAAGCCTGACTTTGATTGAATTCAATTTTCCAATTGATGAGTGCTATTTTAAATGGTGGCTATGACACATCCAAACTTGAAAAAAATTTGNGAAACCTTTATACCTAAACTGTACCTACAAAATATATATGATACATGCCTTTCTTTTTCCTCCTCATTTTGGAAAAAGGTGCACATGATATGCATGTAAATATTGTTCTGTATGCAGTACCCTGCAAATTATAAAATACTGTGCACTGATATAACCCAGTTAGAACCCTCTAACTCATGCCACCATAAGTCAAAATTTTTTTAGGTCAGTAACAAATAGGTGTATTTCTCAGTTCTGGGAAAACCTGTCTTTTGCCTTTCTATGGTTCATACAGAAGTTAGCCAAGAATAATTAACCTTCAATAATCTTTAAAGGAACCTTTAAGAGGTTCTTGGAGACTTTCCCCTTCAAACCTCTATTATTGAAATTTCTTGAGGCATTCCCACTAATGTATTATCATGGAGACCAATAATATGGAATGGAAGAGCAATGTAAATGTAACTTGCTGCTTTTCAAAAGGAACAAAGTGACTCATTTGGAAAATGTACCCATGATGTGAAGTTAAGCACCCTATCAATGCATCTACCCAACAATTTCAGGATCATATTATCACCAGTTATAATTTCTTGTAATTGCTCCAACATATGTTATGCAAAATTTTTAGTTTCCTTCACTCAAAACATCTCTAATTTGAACTTTTTTTTTGTCAATCTGACAGTTTGACTTGCGGAGGTCTGACTGTGTTACCTTTAAATGATGATTGAGGTACTCTTGGACCAGCACCACTTAGTTGTTTAGGGTGAAGTGGACTCATGATATCTTCTTTGCCATCTCCTGAACCTGCATAGAATTCTGCAATTTTCAACACATGAGGTGAATTTTTTTCAATACCTTGGCTCGTTTCGCATTTACCCTGAGATGGCTGCGGTGTTTTGACAAGTGTGGCATTTGGACTCAGTTTCTCTTTAAGCCACAGGTACCTTTGTGGCATAACTTGTGCCCCAACCTTTGAGGGCATCCAATTCTTCAATATCTGTGTCAGTCTCTCGTCAACATATGCTTTAAGATCATTATTCCCATTTCCTGAATTTTGTTGAGAATCTTTCCTAAGAAAAAGAAATTCGATATGATGATGATGATGATGATGAGAAAACTCACATGTGACTGTCAAAGACATCAGGAACTTACCGAGAGGAGGATGCATTCTTCAGCATAACACTGATCCTTTTAGCTGCCGTCTCGCTTAATCCAGCGTTTGCTGGTTGACCAGGAGTGTTACTTCCGAGAAATAAATTGAAAATCACATTCCTCTTTTTCCTGGTCTCGTCTGTAATCTGATCAAGTCCTTCAGACACCATGCGTAAGTTCTGGTGCATCAATTCTACGCCAGTTTCAAATATAAGGGACCGATTCATGGACAGTCCGCGAAGCACACGTTTCAGTATGACATCATGAAACGAGTTCAGAATGGAATCCATGAGTCCATAAACTTGGTCTTCACATATTTCCGGCTGGTATTTTTGAGGGATTTCAACTGCTCCTTGGACCAATGCTGAAACGAACTCCAGGAAGACCAAATCCGAGGCTGCCTGGACATCATTCGCACGAACTGAAGCGGGAAAAAAGATTACTGCATGTAGTAGAAAAATATTTTGCGCGCCAAAATACAGTACATTTATCCGCAATAAACGGTTTCCTATTGGTATAGATTAAGCTAGATTGTCACAGACTTCTACAGATTATCCAGAATCTTCTCAAGAGAAACTCAAGGGTATTTCAGCACTTCAATCTTAGCTGTTCAGTATGTCTTATGAGGAATGGGCAAAATACACGTGAAATCTTGTTACAGTACAACGGATTTACTCCAGGGCATTCGAAAAATCTGTCACAACAAAGATTCACTACAATAAAATTACCATGATATTGAAATCTTCATAATATCAGATGTCAATTTCTTTGAATCCGATATTTTATGGCTATGAAGGTGGATTCTCGCTACAACTATCTTCTTTACAAAGATTTTTCTTTGCATAACAAATTATTTTTTGGTCCCAATACATTAGGATTCTTTCCCCTGTCAAGATATGGACAAATCAAGACAGACAGTTTGAGACTGGACAAATCAACACAGAAAGTTTGAGACAGGGACAATTTGAGACAGGGACAATTTGAGACAGGGAAAATATGATACAGGGACAATTTGAGACAGGGACAATTTGAGACAAAGACAATTTGAGACAGAGACAATTTGAGACAGGGACAATTTGAGACCGAGACAATTTGAGACCGAGACAATTTGAGACAGGGACAATTTGAGACAGGGACAATTTGAGACAGGGACAGTTTGATACAGAAACTTTTGAAGACTGGGACAATTGGAGAGAGTCCCAAAGTAACTCTTCACATACAGTTTTTTTCTTTTTCTTTTACACTTAGTTTTTTTGTTTTCCCAAGATTCTTTGTAAATCTTGGGGAATTTTTTATTCTTTTAAAAATCTAAATATTTGAAATATGACTTTTTAATATTCCATATTGATATTATGAGTGCTATAGATTTTTCTTTCTACGCAAGGTGTTATGTATAGAAATCTGTGCAATTGTTTGACCACATGATAATATTTTGTGCAGTTTACCTCTGCCAGTAGTTAGAAGAATGATAAAGGATGTTCTGATGTTTTTTTTTTGTTCTACACTGCATTAAAATGGATCAAGAGAGGAATGAAAGAAAGGAAATGCTTCTGACTCAAATATTCCTTGTCTCAAAATGTTTTGGAATTCCGTGCATAGTTTAGCAGCATCTCACTGGACATTTTATTTATACAGGCATCCTTGAAAAATTTGAAGCCTAACATGAATATTTTGTTGAATCATGTAAAATTAAAACAAGTCACGATCTGGCAAACTCTGAAATTTACATGTTTCAGTTAATCATATGCAATGTCACCATTTCTTGCCGGGAAATTAGTAGCCGTTTTATATTTTAGCCACATACTTCACGATGTTCTGACTATGCTGGTCTACCAGTGTGAAAAGGTTAGGGAACATTCAATTGCGATAAAATATCGCATCAGTTCTGCAGCGTTGTAGAAATATTTTCTATACTTGAACACGACAGCACCACAATAAAAATAAGTATCCTTGGAGACGTACATTTTGGTTTACTGATGGTCAGAAGCTCACCAAAATTTTCACGATTCATACAGTGTAGTTGGTGGTGTCTCATATACAGTACAAAGAATGCCTTCGTATATACTCAACAGCCCACCCTTACGACGTGAAACAAGCGTAATGAATTGGCGTAAATTTTTTTTAAATTTCAGTCCAATGCTCTTGAAAAACCAAGAATAGCATGAATACAAATTTTATGGCGAATTTTTCCTGATGTCCCTGGGAATACATGGTAACAAGATTTCACTGTACTGTACTTGCTTTCGTATCGTTTCACTTCTTTTCATGAATCCACAGCCCCTTCGAACTGCGAAACCCCACTAAACCGCCACAAACCTCATCAAAGTTTGAAGGTACAGTAATGGACAAAGTATCTTCTCACCACCTTATTATAAAAGGCAAAGGAACTCACACCGTGTTTGACGGGGATCATCAGCGTTAATAATGAGCACGAACGACAAAACAATGACCGAACAGGAATATATTGTCATTGCGGTCATGATATATGACCTTCACTGAGTATCTGAGTTTTTTCTGCGAGTGCTAGTGAGCTTTTTGCAAATGTGCTCTCGTCAGCACATTCGAGCTGCAGCCAGTTAAAATGATGTCAGTTGGCAAGTGCTCAATGACCGGAAAACTCGGTGAAGGAATGTTCTCTTTTTAATATCCATCAGCCTCGGGATGAGTGAGGCAATTGGAAAACAATGCCCACCCCTTCACATCTTTGGCTCCCAATATAACGTTCAAAATCGAGTTCAACTCAGAAAAAAAAAACAATAAAAAATTGACCAACTTCGTTCCAGAATAAGGAAGACTGAGTGCAGCCGAGAAATACAACTTTCCGTAATAATGAGCATTGTCAAACTCTGATCTGAGTACATCAAGGCCCTTCGAAAAAAAACAAGCATACAAAACCACACAGCATTCAAACACGCACCTCGGAAAAAAAAACCAATGCACCGAACACAAAACATTTTGTGCACAATGAGCGGGGAGGAAATTTGCGCTTGATCCTCATATCATCCTCAATGTTCGTGGCTGTGGGGTGTGAAGGCTTCCAGCAACGCCATCGCGGAAAAGCCCAAGATGATGAAGAGAATCTGGAAATACCCCTTCAGCCCCGAGGCCTTTTCCTTCTCCCTTTGCATGATTTCAAAGAAAGCCACGTACAAAATGGTGCCGGCAGCTAGGCTCTGCAGGATCCCCAAAGCTGCTTTCTGGTCATTCACTGCGGAATCCCCAGCATTCAAAGTCACCAAGATCCCTATGAGTACTCCGAGAGGGGAAAAGAGGGCGAACAAGAGCTGCGAAGAAATCAGATAAAAACTTTGAATCAGCGTTGGGTCATGAATCGATGAAACGGGTTGCTTCATTACCATGTAGATGATGATTAAGGCCTTCCGGGTTTCAGCAACCACCAGCTGCATTCCGATTGAGAATGCAATTATGAACTTGTGGGCTCCGATGGCGACGAACACCACCCAGACATTGACAACTTCGTCTTCGAGCCCAATCGCGAGGCCTTCGAAGAGAGCATGAAGGGACAATGCTGCCACAGCCACAGCTGATCTCATGCCCTGCTTCCAAGACTCCAGTTTCAAGAGTTGCCCTGAAAGGAAAAGTCAGAAGTCCAATAAGGTATGAGAAGGGGGCAGATCAGAAAAGCATAAGTCACAAAACATCAAGCTTCAAACACAATAACATCAGAAATGCAAGTTCAGAAAATATCAGGTATCATTCTTTATGTCCAGCATTTCATACTGATAGAAACAAGCTCAAGAAAGATTTACAAGTACTGGAATTCAATGAAGAGACCCTTACTGAAATCTTAAAGGATCAAGATAAACTTTTGGCCTCCTATGATTTCTCATCAAAGATTCTCTGTAATTTGTTCATTCAACTAAACCTCATACAGAAACAAGCCAAAGACCTTGTGCTTTAAATTAATTTTTACATATATTTTGTTACCAATGTCAGGGAATGAATGGGTGTATGCATACATGTCAGATGTCCAGTTGTATTTCATGTTGTATTGTATTTTTATTTATTTTTGTTAACAATTTGTGCTTTCCTGCTCTGAAGTGAAGTGATTAAATGACATTGAGTGGATTTGGGTTGGGTGGGAAAGGGGTTTGGTTGTGGAAATCTTGATTGAACCTTGTGAATGCTGAAAAGCGGCAAATGAAGTGTTCTGTTCTGTTCATGGCAGAAAATTACATACAGTGGGGCCCTGGGATGCGGACATAGTTACAAGTCCAACTGTGTCCAAATCTTGGAATGTCTATACATGATGGATCATATTTTCCCAGTGTGTTCAATGACACAAATTGTATTGCATGTACACAAAAATTGAAAAAAGACTGCATACAAAATAAATGAGTTATCAACTTCAACGTGCGGAAAATTTTTTTCGAAGGAAGCACTATTACAATCTGTCCTTTTGGCATATGAAGGAGCCCAAAAGGCTCAAAGAAAAGACCAGCGCAGATACATTCGCTTCACTGTACATGCAGTAATGATTGATCAAAACATAAATGAAAAGATACTGTACGCAAAAAATTACCCTGTTTATGAAGATGAATTAGTGTGGCATAAATTCATAATACCATGTATATTGATTGACTTCATGTGCATGACATTATCTTCCACTTGTTCAAGATAAAAAAAAAATTTGAAAACAATATACGTTTCAAATTTTTTTCAAAATGTTTTCAGTGTGCATATCCCGAAACATTTTTCAGAATTCAGAGCAGATTTTATCACTTTTCAGTGTCCATTATTTTTCCAAACTTTTCTAGCTGAAGCGGGCCTGAAGTTGAACCTTTTATTTAACCCAGAATTTCATAAATGCTGTAAGAAAATACGTTCATCCAGAATTATTTCCACCGTCCGTCAAGTCGTGACCTAGAGTGTGTATAGGCTTTGTCAGCAAACAAAAGGGATGCAAGGTTAATTTCATTGCAAATGCAAGCAAAGGTAAAGAAAGGAATAATTTAGTACTCAGCGTAATGTGCACATACAAAACAACTCAACTCTTCGCATCAATAGTAGGAATTTTGTGCCTATGTAAACTAAAATCATCACCGGCTTACAACAGTAATTTAAAAAGATCAACAAGAAGCTTGTTAATGACAACAGGGCAAATATTGAAGCACATTGCGCTGTATGAATAGTAGGTTTTCATACTTGGCTATAGAAGCCCAAGGAATTGAGCTGAGCGCAGCACAGCTGCTTCTGGCTCAAAACATATTTTGATGCACTTTACTACAGATATTCATGTGAATGGGCTTGCCATGCAAGTAATGCAGAGAACTTGTTTTTAGGCACAAAAAAAAAGGTTGCTTTGCAATACCATGCTGCACTTCAGGGCATGCATCAGCGCTTCTGATGACAGCGCCATCTTTTTGGGGGCTGTAACTGGTCCAAAAGGTGTTCTTAACCGTCATTTGCTTACTGTTGGTCATTTAAAAATCAATCCTTAGGAGTCCTGCATTACTAAGGGTATTTGAACATGGAAGCAAAAGACCCCTGGAACATGACATGCAGCAGAATGCTGTCTTGGCACATGTAACTTCAAGGACCCAGGAAGTTCATATGGCATATGAATCACATATCCCCATTTGAGACTCTGAAACTGACAATTTTGGACTCAATCAAAATATGAAGTACAATATTTGGATGGGATTCAACAAAGCCCAAAGAAAGCAAGAGATAAGCTGCACATGTCTGCCTATGATTCTGCCATGCACCACTTATAAGGGCCCCAATCCTTCAAATTGGGTGAAGCGGTTACCCTGCCGGGGAAAAAAAGGGCAGAGTTCAACTCACCTGTATATAATTCACTCACACCCTTGGTGAAGACGAATTTTCTAGCTTATTGCAGAAATTTGGATTTCGAGTTACGTAAGGTTGGTTTCCGTCAGGTTAAACGATGGGTCCCCACTTGACAAAATATCTGTGCAGAAAAATTGTGCATAGCCAAAACTTCGCATTGCATATTTCTTAGAAGGAAAGAATTGGGCTCAAACAATACAATTGCTTCACACGAGATATTTACAGAAAAAAGAATTGTGTCACGTTTTTGAGTTGAAACTTGAGAATTTTTCAGATCACAGCGAAGATAAAATATGAGCAACTTTTTTTTAAATATGTGGTCCTGAAAATGTCAGAATTTCAGAGAGATAGGTGCTCACATTTTTCAGGATTCATTCCATTTTATCCTCATAATTTATTGCAATAATTAGCTACATTATGTGGTTTATGTATAGATTTTTGAATGCAGCCATTTTGTGATTGTCGGGAACACATTCAAGTGTATTTGAGTAATGTAAAAGTGAGACCCCAAGATGGAGACGTAATTGGTGTATCAAGAGTGTCCCTAAGTCGAAATGACCCTAAGTCGAGTCTTGTTTTCCCATAGACTTCCATTATACAATTTTTAATTGGTGTTTTCTGAAAGAAATATTGATCAAAATTCCTTTTTAAAATTTAGGAAAAAAATGCTACTGATGAAAAAATTATTAAATCAGTGTTGTTCAACTCATGTAAAAAATCTGGAGCATTGGGGGACATAAAACATTCACAAAATGCACACTTTCTGTGCTACTGCTGAATGTTAAGATACGTCAATTCAGCAAATGTCCTCTTCTCTTCCTTTCTTCTCCAGCTGTGGCATCTTTATGATTTCTTTTTTGAGTTTCACAGTTGGATGTTCTTGTCTTCTTAGAGGAAATTTTCAACTTTTTTAAAATCTAGCCTTCTTGAAATTAACTTATAAAACTCAGCTTGTTGTCAAGCAAAAAGTTGAGAATAATGTTTTTTCAACAGTTTCTTAGGCAGGGAAAAATATCTAAGTAAAAATGATGTACCTCTGTACACTATTGAACATTGAGATGTTAGAATTTCCTGTAAAAAGTAACTTAGACAAAAAGAGAGAAGGAAATCCCTTCTTTTTTGAGAATATCTATGCTTGAGATAATTTTTAAAATTAGCTAAATGGAGGGGAAAATGATGAAAGAATTTTAAAACAATTTTTGTCACATAGATCTTACAATCCTATGGTTCTGAATATCTGTTCCTAGTAACTTGGCTTGAAAAATTTGATTTTCTGAAAATTTTGATGTCCGCAGGTTGAGTCAGTGTCCGCAGGTTGGGTCTTTTTAAATTGAAAATAAAGTGTCCCTAAGTTGAATCGTCCGCAGGTCGAGGCGTCCGCATGTGGGGGTCTCACTGTAAATCTTGAGGAAGATGGAATTCAGCAAAATACACATTTTGCACAGCAGAATGCAGTCAGGAACAAATTACAATAGAGCCCTGAGATGCGGATTTAATTTCTTCTTTGACTGTGTCCATATTTTGTAATGTCTACATGTTGTGGATCACATTTTCTCAGAGACTTCAATGGGAACATTCTTGAACCCTCCTCCTCCTCCCTGGCAAAAAAAACAAGAGAGATATCAACTCAAACTTGTTTCTCACAACTTCAAGAAGCAGAAAATATCTATGCAGGAAAACCCACGCCAAATCTGTACTTCTGCTATGAAAAAGATTCCAAAAGCAATAAAAAAAATGTAAGGTGTTTGCTTCTTTGGGCCCCACTGCCCTGTTTTACCCAAGCAAGCGCTGTTCCAGTTGGAAGCGCCCTATGACATTTTTTAGACTATTTAGAGTAAGTGTGATTTTTAAAAAATCTTTACAGAGCCCATTCTGATTCTAAATCAATTTTTTCACTTATTTTCTGATTTCATTAACTGGTTGGCAGGTAGCCAATGTAACTCATGGTGCAGTTTGCTGGTACAGCTGGCTGAAGCTAGCCCCTCAACCAACACCAGTGCATGAGCTGGATTGTGAGCTGGCACCAACCAGCTGGAGCTAGCTCCCCACCCAACTCCAGCGCATGAGCTGGATTGTGAGCTGGCACCAACCAGCTGGAGCTAGCCCCCCAACCAACACCAGTGCATGAGCTGGATTGTGAGCTGGCACCAACCAGCTGGAGCTAGCCCCCCAACCAACACCAGTGCATGAGCTGGATTGTGAGATGGCACCAACCAGCTGTGCACAAGTTGGCACCAGCTGGGGTGATAGCTCCTCTCAGGAGCTGGATTTGATCACAAAGGGAGTTGGGGCTTGCACCCAAGAGCTGTCTAGCAGACCATGAGCTATCAGCTAAAACCCCGAATCCCAAGTTATTTGCTGGGATGCTGTTCAACGGTTCTGGGATTTTTTTCAGATTATTAAAGCAGTTTTTTTTAATTTACTGCACAATGATGAGTGCTACAGAAAGATACCTTCACCCAATTCAAATAGGGTGCTAAAAATTTGTCAGGCCAGCTAAAAGATGTAAATTTTGTGTTGTTTTCCCCATTATCTTCTTTACATTTTAGATATTGGTTAAAACAAAAACAAAATTGTTGGATGCACCTTGAAAGGTTTCACTTATCATCATACAGTAAATTGAAAATCTGTTCCAAAAATATGTTTCAAAAACAATCCCAAAATTTCACAGCATCATGGGCTCTGTCATGATTTTTTTTCTTCTTTGCAGTCACACCAACTCTAAAATATTAGACGTCGCGTCCAACTGGGACAACCCTCGCACTGTACTAAACTAGAAAATGATGATTTAGGGTGCAATACGTTGGGCTGAGGAAACTGTTTGGTTCAGGAAAATAAAGTTGGGTTGGCAGCACATAATCGCACTCGTTCGCACTTCCTTGCCTATTGTACAGCCTACAGGGAGGAAATCTATCCAAAAAGCAAAGACACGGACCTTGGACAAGGTCTGCGGTGGACTTGGCTTCCCCGTTCTCGACTGACGACGCCGCCACTTGCGGAGGACGCCCTCTGGTGGAGCCCCTCACGCTGAAACTCCTGGCCAGCTCAGGCACGACCGACGCCTTCTGCTTCTCAATCACGCCGTGTCCGATTTCCTCCACCAGGTAGATCCCTATGCATCCCGCGCACATCACTAGTTCCGCCCAGGGGAAAACGGTTTCGCTGTGCAAATGTTCTTCCTCGTGAGCGTGAGCGTGCGCGTGTTCGTGCGGATGTGCGTGCTGTGCGTGAGCATGCGCATCGTGTTCGTTCGGATGGGCGGGTTCCGGTTCCGCCATTAGGTTCTGTCGGGCCTCGGGCAGCATGTGAAGAAACGCAGTTGCCAGGAGAACGCCTGCGCCGAAGCAGAGCACGGCAGATGTCGCTGCTGCTGCGGACAAGCACCCGTGCTTCGCACTGGAACCTCGCGGGCGCAGTTTCAAAGGCAGCAGGCCGACTGCCAACGTCACCACGGCTAGCACCGACAGAGCTGCCAACTTCGCGGTCAGGATCGTCATGGTTCACCACCAGGTGCAACACCTCCTGCAGAAGGGAAAACTTCGAATGGTTATCATCCCGGCAGTTGGACGATTTTGCAGGTGTAAACAGGTACACTTCATCTCTCTACAATGATTATGTGTGCAAAAATTTTCTCTGTACAGGTGGTACCTTGCAATTTGACTGCCACAATTTGACAGTCAAATTTGCATGGAGGTTAACTGGCAATTTAACCTCTGCCCCAGAGTTTGACCTGCTTTGGCCACTTTTTTTAAATTTTGGGCAAATATTTCTCAATTTTACAAAGTGTCTTACAATTTGACCCTAGCCCATCAACACATTAGGGTCAAATTGCAAGGTTCCACCTGTACAGTCAAACCTCTTCAAGTCAAATTTTGAAGGACCAGAAAAAAGCAACTTAGGGAGGTTCTGCGAACATTATTTGGTTTGCAAACCCTGAAAGCATGATTTGATCCTCTGCAACAAGGTTCCTGATTAAGAAAAAAATCAAATGATGATGGCTTCATTTAAATTTTGGGAAGTAGACACTAGTTTACACATCCCAGAGTGATATTTATTGCTTTCTAAAAAACAATTTTAAATTATTGTTTTCCAGAAATAGTTGACAACAATGCAGGAACTTTGGTAGTGAATCTCTAAAATGTTGATCATGAGGATGAATTATATCTTTCATGTAAAATCGTCATGCAATGAATGACACCAACATATTAGTTACCACTTGTTCCCAGAAGTAATACAATAAAATCTTGTTCCAATAAAATCACCAAGGGGAGGAAAAAACCTTTGTTGCGTTATAGAGTCTTTGTGAAGAAATTTGAATAACATGGTGGATGTTGGGTCTGCCTCAAAATTAGTTTCTTGTAAGAAATAATTTATTAAAGTAAGATTTGTTGTAACAAGATTCTGCTGCATGTAACTGCACATCATACTGGTCCGAACGGCGGAGCATGTAAAAAAAGTTTAGGGGTTCAATCTGTAACTCTGAGTAGTAAAGATCATTCTATTCACACACAAAACATTACAGCAAATAAGAGACAATTTTAGCTTTGGTCAGGTTCTGTTTCAAAATTGATCAGATTGATGATTCTGGTAACACGCCCATAAGAGAAAATGTTAGGCATCACACTGAGAAGAGTCACGATTTCAATCCTGTCACAATGCCTTCTTCACTAAAATTCTGAACAAAATATCCTAAATCCAACAAAACAGGGATAGTTTCACCAGTCAGTCACACTGAAGAAAAAAAAAAACTCAAAGCAAGGAGGACGAAGACTGCTGGAAACAAAGTTTCAACTGAACTGGAAACTTCTTGGATGTCAAGAGGAACAAAGGATTTCTAGTGACGAATGAATGGGACTCTTTTCTTTCCAGAAAGCCACTCAATACTCCAAAATAAAAACGGGTGACTCAATTCCCGGAAAGTGTTTCCCATGTCGTCTATTCAGAAACCTCATGGAAATCATGTCCTTCTCTGTCACCCGATGTCACTCCAATGTCTCTGAGTTTTCCCGGATTTTACGCGTGAGTCACGACGACCAGATACAAAATAAAGCGGATCTTGCCACCGCCACAAAATTATTCCACTAAAACCACAATACGAGAACTTTTCGACGATTTTCAACTGACCGGAAAACGAAAATTTGACAATCTGAGGGCGATTTCAGATATGAATTACTGTTTTGTTGGAGGAAACTTGGAGGACTAATTGTTGTACAGTTCTTAAACCGGGGCTTTCGAATAATTTTGTGCATTCTACATTTGTACCGTAACCATTACAAGACATTGCAGTACTCTATTTGGGTACTCTACCTTCTCGGGTAAATTACAATAACACAGGCAAGCAGTGAAAAACAGTTCCTACCTACACGTACATCAGCAGCTCACAATTTCCCGGAAAAAAAATCTGTTTCACGTTCAACGTCTAAATTGATTGATCCGCAGTAATTTCCCAAGCAATTCAATGCTTTGGATTTCACTCCTGACTTTCCTACTCTCATGTTTGCACCGGAGAACAGGAGCACTGGTTGAAAAGCCTCGATTTACACAATTGTATGCACAACTTCAGCTGCAGGAATTCAAAAAGTTTCGAAAAATATACGCCATAATCGTAACCCGAAGTTTGGCGGAACAAGTTCCAACAGATACCCAGAAAATTCTAAAACTTTCGGGAAAATGTTCAGAACACGCAACCTAGGCCATACGGGATCCGATGATTGGAAATTTTTCTACAGATGTCACTCCATCTCCGTTCTACGTCGAGATTCTAACCGGTGAAATGACCTTCAGAAACTCAAGTAAAAAATATTTATCTTCGGTGATTTTTTTTATTCATTAAAAAATTATCACATAATTTTAATAAGAAAACAATTAACAAATACTTTTATTGATAGAAAATTATCAAATAATTTTAATAATAAAAAATAAAATGATTTTCATTATAAAAACATTATCAAATAAATTTGTACAACGGCCAATTTTTCCCGTCGCCATTGAAAATTATCAAATATAGTAATGTTTTTCATCATGTTCAGGTAACTTCGGCATATTGGTAAAAAACCATTTCTGCTGACGGAGTGTGTGTGTTCGAAAATTGTTACCCCAAACTCCCGAAGACGAGTGTCGTCTCGAAAACTTCAAGTGCATCAAGATGTTCGTTAAGGTTTATGGAAATGCAGGAACCACGGGAACAATGGTGTTCTCGTCTTCGTTTTTTTTTCTTCGGAAAATAACGCTCGTAAGGGACTGTTCCCATTCAAACAGAGCAGCATTACGTGACTCCCGTCGCCATTAAAGCGTAACCTTCACTCCGTGATGAATACCCAAGAAGGCCCTTTTCTGGATGTTACTCCGCGTTCAAACTGTATTCTAGAGCAACTTCTGGAATCTCTGAAAAACTTCCATCACGTTTCACCAGGACTTGTAAGAAAATATTTTCAACAGATTAGGTCCCAACACTGCTTAGAGTTATTTCAGAGTTTTTTTTTTTTTTTTTTCTCGAAAAGAAGGACATTTGCAGGAGGATGTAATTCTTTTTATGAGTTTTTCGTAAGCAACTCATTTATTCATCAGGTTCTCAGGAAATCGAAACGTTTTTTTTCTAGTTGTATGCGAAGGAGTTCTGCAGCTTCTAGAAGGAAAATTGATTTATTTATGGCGCCTTCATTAATTCACGCGACGAGTAGATTAAATTTCTCACGAACGCACCTTCTTCAAAGACTTCAAAGAAGTCTTTGAAAGGACTTCTTCTTTTCAAAAGTACTGCATTCGAAAATTATACAATGTTGGCATTTCCGTGCTGAGAATTATTTCCGCGTCATTACTTTATATACAAGGACTGTACAGTATAAGCGGAAATTAAGTGTTCAGAAATTTCGGCCGAGTTCTGCAAGTCGCTGTGCTGCATATAATTCTTAAACCTTAGGAATTATCCAGAAGTTACTGGGGAACTGTGAAAGAATTTGTACAGTACTGTATTTCCATGATTTCCTGAAACATTTGCGAGCAGATTTTTGATCGGGTTATTTTTAAACAGATTTTATATATATTCGCCACTCATGCCGACGCCATTTTGTGCAAACATTTCATTCAAGAGCACACAAAATGGCCACATACACCAAAAGGGCCCACTTCAGAGCCGCAAAAAAACACAAGTACGGATTTCCGGATAAAACACATTTTTCTGAGCATTGCTTTCCCGCAAAAATCGAGCGCAACAGGATTTCCTAACGCACAATCGTTATATTTCGATGCTACAATTTCAACATTGAAAAAAATCACGGCACTGTTCTCGTACGTAAGCGACAACCAAAATATTGAAAGAGGAGTTTTCTCTTTCCTAGCAAAACCATCCCATGACCAACTTTCAAAAAGTGCGATGAAACCTTTCCAGTATGCATGAAGATGACTATGTAAGTCATACATGGCACGCAGACGATAGTAACACTGAAATCACGGAACTAGGGACAACGTGGGAAAGGAACACAAAGTTGAAATATTCACTCAGCTAAAAATCACAGGGTGTAAAATTCGAGGCACAATAAAATGAAGAAGCGCCTCAGATCACTTGAAAAAAAAAATCCTAGGAAGTTCGTTAAAGTACTGTACTGCACTTCAAAACGAGAGTCCATCAGAAATTTTTCACGTTCTCTGATTTCGATGATTCGTAAATGTAAAAATTTGGCGCAAAAATATTACGAACGTCAGTTTCTGGTCCAATATATTCACAAAAAACTCCAACAGAATTCCAACTACTGATTCCAAATCAGTAATTCATCCCATCAATGTCGTGCTATGCACATGAATATCATCAATAGCATTACTTGTGCGTGCATTGTATAGAATACGTGAAGTTTGAATTATCATAATACAGTATTGTACATGAGTAACACAAAGCAATTTAGGAGTGGATTTTTACAAGTTAACGATCCATCGAAAATGAGCAAACATTTCTCGGAATAAGTACAGTATCTGCCACGCATCATATATTCATGCAAGTAAATCTCGATTTTTTTTATCCATAGCAATTTCATTTCGTCTCAAATTTTACACGGCCGAATATATTTTTGCGCTATAGAGTCTGTAAAGCGAAATCACGATCGGCATTATGCAGTAAAAGCAGCGATTTATCCCAGAAACACGCAGAAAAGCACTTCCAAAAATCGTTCAAAGGTGAAATGCAAATCCCAATTCGTTTTGCTTTTATTGCCCCAATATACAAACTGCGGTCCAGCGCCATGACTAATGTAATTTGAGAAAGCCACAAAATGCGCCGGCCGTAGAATCTACTTCAATCCAGTACTTCAAATTACTTTTCATTTTTCTGGCCAAAAGCATGGAAATCGAAGCCAAGCATGGTTTGAATTACCGCGAACCCCAGCCTTCATCGAAAGCCAAGCTATTTATAATCAACCAGAAAATCAACTACAGTACCGATTCCAATCCGACATGGTTCATACTTCATCACTTGTCACTTATCCTTTGAGCTATTTACTGTACTAAATTAGGCACATGTTCATAAAAAAGCCCCCAAAAA